TTGTTCCTCTTGGTGCCCCCCCCGCTACGGCCGGCCAGGCTGGTACGGCTGCCGTCCACCTGCGGCGTGGGGCCAGGTCAGGATGGGGCCCGTTGGGGACATGGGGGCACGTGACCCATGGAGACATGGCACCCAAGAGGGCACGTCACCTATGGGGACCCACCAGCCAGTGGATCTTCTCCCAGGGCAGCGTCTGGCACTGGGGGAGACTTCAGGCCATGGGGACATGTCACCCATGGGAACACATCACCCATGGGGACCACCAGCCTATGGATTTCTCCCAGGGAAGACCATGGCCCTGGGGGAGACCTCAAGCCACAAGGACACGTCACCCATGGGGACGCGTCACCCATGGGGACCCACAAGCCCATGGAACTTCTTCCATGTCAGAGCCTGGCCCTGGGGGAGACCTCAGGCCATGGGGACACGTCACCCATGGGGACACATCACCCATGGGGACATGTCACCCATGGGAACCACCAGCCCATGGACCTGCTCCCAGGGCAGAGCCTGGCCCTGGGGGAGACCTCAGGCCACAAGGACACATCACCCATGGGGTCACATCACCCATGGGGATCCACCTGCCTATAGGTCACCTCCCAAGGCAGATCTTGGTCACAGGGACGACCTTAGGCCACAGGGACACTGGAAGACATGTCACCCATGGGCACCTAACAGTCCATAGATCTCCTGTCCAAGGCCAGCTTGGAAGACACCAGCCATGGGGATGTGTCACCCATGGGGTCCCACTAGCCCACGGTTCTCCTTCCAAGGCCAAGACTGACCATGGGGCAGACTTCAGGCCACAAGGTCTCCTTTCCGGCCACCTCTGGTGCCATCGAGTCCCTGAGCCAACGCGGCCACCATGGAAGTCCCCACCGCTAGGGCCCCCCATCCCTCACCCGCTTGCTGCTCTGGATGTTGATGAAGGTCAGGTCCTCCATGGTGAGGATGATCTTATTGGGTCCCTTCATCAGCTGGGCCTGCTGGATGCGGCGCCTGCAGGGACGGGACACGGAAGCTGCTGAGGTGCCTCCCGGGGACCCGGTACCTCCCCAGGGTCCCCCCACCTTGAGCCGCACAGCTCCCCATGAGGTGGTGGCACCCACCTGCTGAAGCAGGCGAGGGCAGCCCCTGCCGCGATGAGGGCAGAGATGAGGGCAAACGTGAGGAGGACGAAGCTGGCGTCCACCCCTGTGATGGAGAGAGGAAGGGGGTGAAGGGGTGGCGTGGGCCAGAGGAGCCACCCAGGACCTCCCATGGTGGGCCATGGTCAACTAGGAGGAATCCGAGGCCAGCCATGGCCACCTGTGACTCCTTATGGTCATGGATGCCCACCATGGTCATGGGGACGCCTCCAGTCAGCCACGGCCACCTATGACTGCTTATGGTCATGGATGTCCACCATGGTCATGGGGACACCTCCGGTCAGCTGTGGCCACCTATGACTGCTTATGGTCACGGATGCCCACCATGGTCACGTATGGCCACCTCCTGGTCAGTGATGGCCACCTGCGGTTGCTTATGGTCATGAATGGGTGGATGGATGGATGAGTGGGTGGACGGACGGATGGGTGAGTGGATGAATGGGTGAAAGAATGGATGGATGGAAGAAGGATGGACGGATGGATGGATGGATGGGTGGATGGATGGATGGGTGGATGGATGGATGGATGGATGGATGGATGGGTGGGTGGGTGGATGGATGGATGGATGGATGGATGGATGGATGGATGGATGGATGGATGGATGGATGGATGGATGGATGGATGAATGGGTGAAAGAATGGATGGATGGAAGAAGGATGGACGGATGGATGGATGGATGGGTGGATGGATGGATGGGTGGATGGATGGATGGATGGATGGATGGATGGATGGATGGATGGATGGATGGATGGATGGATGGATGGACGTATGGAAGGAAGGAAGAATGGAAGGCGGGATGGACAGACGGCGGGATGGACAGCCACCCACGAGGCCGGCTGGCGGCAGGTA